TGGAGAAATGGTAAAAGATCGACGAAAACTGTGGCAACTGTACATTATGTTGGTAAAGTTACCTCATTGAAATGCAGAGCCCTGACTAGGTAAATCTTTATCATAATCATAAATCAGCTTTGCTTGTTTTTTATACTATTTAGCTCCGACTTACAAGATATAGATATAAGTGGTAGTGTACTTTAATGTGTCACTATCGTATAGGGTTATTTTGATGAGCAAGAACATCAAGATCCCTGAGTTATGTCAATATATGTTAAAAACTGATTGTAGACTTGATAAATAAATAAGCGATATGCCGATATGACATTGGTCCACGATCTTATGTAATTATTGATCAATTAAAAGTTAAACAATCTGGGCAGCGAAATATGATTTTTGGACTTGAAAGTTGAAACTGAAATAGAGTAATAGACTTGAGAAGTTCTTTTTTGTCCGAGTGATTTTTCTTCCTTTTTCTTCCCCATAAACTCATCTTGTGCGCTTATCCTTCTCTGCAATATATGTAATTTATATTTGGTACTCCCTTGGTCCCAGATTAATCTACTTGTTTTCCTTTTCGGTCCATTCCGCTTCTTGTTTAAAGTTGTTTGGTTAGTTTTTTTTCCCGTTTTAAAATGAATCTCATCCACAAAGTTATGCTTTCTTGATAATGTTCTAAGTCAAAACAGGAAGATTAGTTTCAGACAGAGGTTGTTTAGTCATTCCAAAGTAAGGAATAGCCCCCACCCCCTTAGCCCCCACCATTAAGAAGTACTATCCCCATCTAAAAAACAGGACAATTATTTTGACTAAGGTGTGTGCCTTTTTAATTTTGTTTCAGTACAATTGATGTAACTCATGTAAGTCATTAATCCACATATGCTTTGTATATTTTGAAAAAAATTATTTACTTGGTTTTACTAAATTTGTGATAGCAGGGAACATTTTCTTCATATGATAATGAATAAAGTAAGACCTACATTATGGGTGTGTAATTTTAGTGGTCAATCTTATTTGCAGTGGAGGAGCTCCTCTAGTCTCTAAGCAGAAGGTATTTAAGATCTTAGCTTTTAAAAGTAGTAGCCAAAATGACTCTGGATGCACTAGATTCAATGCCATGGATAAATCTGTGAATAAGCTTTCTTATGGAGCCCATGGGAGTGAGGTAACCTCAGTGGAGTCTTTTAGGGCACAGAATCATCCTGTTTCATACACTTCTGAAATAGTTGAGAGAACAATAGATGACACTCTGGCTATACAGAAGCCTCTCAAACACTGGCTGTCAATATTGCGTACAACACCATCATCAGACCAAGAAATCAGTGAAACTGTTGAAGAACAATCTTCAACACAAGCAGTTGAAACCCAAAAGCTGGTCCAACAGAAGACGGAAAGAAGAAGTACTTTACAAGCAGTTTGGAGCTATTTTATAAGCCTGGATGCAACGATAAAGATAAATTTATTGATCTTGTAAGTATGGTTGGGTCAAGTTTGGGTGGTTGAGCATACAAGGCATCACCTTGCTAAAGCCTTTTACATGTCTTGAGACTTGATATTTGCATCTTGAGTGATGAAAATGACTAAAGTAAAATGATGTTTTTTTTAAAAGGGCAGCCTGGTGCACATTGGTGACCCCTCAAGGCGAGAGTACGGGGATGGGTCCAACCACAAGGGTGTATATGGGGCAAGCCTTCCCATGTCATTTTGACAAGAGACCGCTCCCAGAACTTAAACCCATGACCACTTGGTCACACAGCAACACCGTAACTGGTGCACCAAGGCTCCCCTTAAAAAACTTCAAATACATAAATAAATAAAAACAAACTTCATATGGAAATTGTTATTAGATTACAAATTTATGATCGGTATATATGCATTTTGCAGTATACCCTTTTGTGTGGCTGTTACTTCAGCTTATGGAGCCGAAATTTCAAAAGAGTTGATGCCATTATGGATTTTTGGACCATTTATCATGTCTTTGTACATCAAGATGATCCAAGCCATCTCTGCACTTTATGTGTTTTGTTTTGCTCAGACAGTAAAGGTTGTAAAGAATCTTCCGACATACTACTTATTAGCTCATGATTACATTCGTCATGGGAAGCTCAAGGAAGAAATGAGAGTACGCTTATTGCAGCCCGTGGTCAGTATTAAGAACACAGACTACAGAAAGGTGCTAAGGAGTTGGTTGAACGATATGAAGGTCATTCTGGCAGAGAAGTATGTCGACTTCACAGAATCAATATGGCCGTTTTACTGCAGAATGATCCGATTATTGAAGCGGGCAAACCTTATCTAGACTTGTGAGTTTGATGTTGACGATAAAGAGGTATGAATGTTGAGGGATATTTTATCAGTTTTTTGTCTAATGTTTTTTGTAATGTCACGAACTAAAGTTTCAGTTAGTTGGTTAGTTATGGTGTATTCTTTCATCAGATCCTGATTAAGCTTAGGAGGCTGACAGTGAAGCTTCTTGTTGTACTAACCGTCAAAAGCTCCAACAATTGATCACTAGTTGTTTTCGGTTTCATGATTTTTCCAAAATTTATTTAGGTGTTCGGAGAGCCAAACTCTTTATTGTTTGTTTGTGTGTGATGCATGGATTCTTTTCATCAAATTAGTACCATGTTTGATAACCAAAAGTGGTTTACTGCTTACTAGCCTAAACTGTAGTTTTAACTTATTTCAGCTGAAATTGATGGCACCAAACATTGTTTAAAAACATTCAGCGGATTCAGCCAATAACTCTTACGGTCTTACCAAATGCGATATAGGTTTGACTTTCCATTTGGTCCCCCCTGCATCCTTCTCTAATTCAACAAGTGTAGGGTATCTTTTTGCTACATATGCCGTGGGTCATGGATGTCAGTCATGTCACATATCAATCTACACCATTAATGTAGGAAAAAAATGTACACCACAGTACCACACTTCCTCATTTCTAAGCATTGTTTGCCGACTTTTCACTTTTGGTGTATGACTATGGATTTTTAAGACTTCTTTATGATTTGTGTAATTTGAAGTTGATTTTGGCTGGCTGTGAGTGAATGTATCAAAGCATGAAAATGAGAGAGATACATGGGCGGGGGCGGGGGGTCAAAAGCACAAAAAGGACTCACGTAAGATGAATTCCATGTTTTCATTTTTAGTTTTGGCCACGTTTGTTGGGGTTGTGAACTAACTTCTTACTGATCCGGCGGTCCTGACAAGTCCGGAACCGGGTCCGGTACCTTGTTCAATCGGATTGGGTCTGTTTTAAAGGTTTCGGGCAAAGGACCATTTTTCCCTTCCTCCCTTTTTAGTTTCGAAAAAATTGGTAAATTTTGATTGCCTTGACCAAATTAGATGATTCAAAATGCTGTGGATTGGTCTCTTCAAGGCCTACAACTCTTATCAAGGAATTATAGCTGTTGGAATAACTATAAACGACAACTTTACTTTTTTCAATTTGAGAGGGGCTTATAGCCATTGGAACAACTATAAACGGCTTTATATCCGTTAGAGGGGGTGGGGGTCAGGGGTGGGGATAGGGACTGGCCGGGTACCTGTAATAATTGGGTTGGTCTGGGCTTCACTCAATTGGAACCGGGCTGGTCTAGTCTGAGACTGGAATCGGGACCGGGTCCATCTCTATTTTGACTCTTGACTCTTGAGCAACAACTTTTTTTTATTTCCTTTTGAGTAAAATGCATAACTAGTCCCTAAACTATTAGTCCCATATCATTTTGGTCCCCGAACTAACAAATCTATCATTTCAGTCCCTAATTTATGTAATCCATATTAGTTCGGTCCTTCTATCTATATTTTGACGTTAAACTAACGGAATGTACTTAGTTAATGCATGTATGTGTAAATCAAAATGCTTATAAGACAAAATATGACTTATAAAAATCTGATTTAATATATAAATAAATTAGAATGAAAACTACTATCAAATCATAATATAACGCGTTAAGACATACTATCGTAATATACTATATCCGTTCTCTTTTAAATGCAACACTGGACTTTTTACACTATTCATGTGTTCTACTTTGACTCTATTTTATTTAATACGGAGTAATGTATTATAAAATAAATTTAAAAAAGTGTTAAATTCCTGTCATTTTCAAATATCAAAATCTATTTTTTTTATTTTTTTACCAATATTTGTATAGTTCTCAAAATTTGTCAACGCACAAGTTTCACGTTTGCCAACACACAACTTTGACCATTAATATCTTTAATTCCTTCTTAATAAAAAAAATAAAGAAAAATTGGAAAATTTAAAATGAGAGGAATTTGACATTTTTTAAAATTTAATTTATAATACATTACTCCGTATTAAATGAAATAGAGTCAAAGTAGAACATGTGAATAATGCAATAAGTCTAATGTTGCATTTAAAAGAGAACAGATGAATTATATTATGTTATAACTTTATACAAAGTGTTGTATTATGATTTGATAGTAGTTTTCATTCTAATTTATTTAGATATTAAATCAGAATTTTATAAGTTATATTTTGTCTTATAAGTATGTTGATTTACATGCACTAATTAAGCACATTCCGTTAGTTTAGTCAAAATATGGACAGAAGGACCGAATTAATATGAATTACATAGATTAGGGACTAAAATGATAGATTTGTTAGTTCAGGGACCAAAATGATATGATGCCGATAGTTTAGGGACTAGTCATGCATTTTACTCTTTCCTTTTTATTTGCTTACTTTTGTCTTTCCAAGAGGCTGTCATTTGTGTTCCTGTAGTCCAATATTGTAGGATTTCAATTTGCGAGAAGTCACTTATTCAGAACTTCATGCATGATGCATCCAAGGTCAATGTAACAATTTGTTGTTCGAAAACTAAGTTTGATCAATTGCATGTAAAGGGTGTTGGAGTTGTACGAGTTCAACATCGAATATTGCTTTCGAAAAGTGACTGGAACTTAGCTTTTGCAAAACTGATGAATAATTTTCTTTGTTACTTTAGAATCTATTTTGAAAAGTGAATAGATTTTAGCTTTTACTACTGCACTAGATCCAAACAGGGGTTCCATAAACCATATTCGTTTTCTTTTCAATCGCTTCCTATATTGTACAATGCCCATTGATTTCTGGTAAGAAACTGAAATCCAACAAGTTTGGTAATGATAATAGCAACCCATGTTGCAGAAAACACTCATAAATAGTATTCATCAGATACACAGTATTACAGTACACAACTGAAAGTGCTGAGGACACAAACACAGCCAGGGGCTATTCAACAGAAATACGAATCCACAAACTAATTCCAAGAAGCAGCACACTGCTGAAGAAGAGTGAAAGAAAGCTAGACCAGGCCAGCCCACAGACAATCTTTTCGAACATTCTTGCCCTCAAAGAGGATATGCAGGAGATCATTGGGAGGGTTCAAACCAAGCTTCCTGGCCCGCTCCCATCGCTCAAGTCTGCTCATTCCAAGGCATGGTCCATACACCATGTTCATGTCAAATTGCCTCAACACACTCTCATTCTCATCATGCTCACCTGGCCACCCCCAAAAGAAAAATCACACAATAAGACATTCACAGTTTACTTACATTACATGAGTTACATCAGTATACATACATGCTAGAAAAGCAATTTCTTACGGAGTATAAATTTGAAGATAATGATGGACATTTCAAATAAATAATACACAACTCACGGATCGAAAGTATAGCATATGAATTGAAAGTTATAAATTTTCTCTGCAAATTCCTCCTACCTGGCCCATTTCATTAGGGTTTCCCGCAACAAGTGTATATGCGTGAATCAGAATGAAGAATGGTCAATTAACTGTACAAATTATGATCCTCTTAATAGGGGAGTCAGAAGATATTTATATGAAGAGAGATACCTTGTAAAGCCGGGGAGCCCTGGGAGACGCTAGCCGGCGTTTGAGGGCTGTCAATGCCAAAGGTGGGGGATTGCTTTGGCGTGGAGGATGCAGACTTTGACTTCGTCTTTGACTTTGCGATGCCAGTTGTTTTCTGCTGCTTGTAGAAACCCTTGATGTTTGATTTTGTCGCCATTTCCGCTTCTGTATTTCTTCTCTGCTCTGAGTTCAAATTTTGCAATTCTTGCCCGAGAGGTACCAGTGAAGTTGAAGTGTTTATTACATACGACGACGTTTACTAATAGGCCGCACTTATCGGCCAAAAGGCGTATTGGGCACTCGGGCTTGTACCGATGGAAGAAAAGCCCAAATAATGATTTCAGCCACACTTTAGGGGTAATTCTATATACAGCCCACTATTTGCTAAATACAGCCTACTAATTAAATAAAATGTCTATTATATCCTTTTATTATATTATACGAAGTAAATCTTTCTTTCTCGTTTGATCAGGGGTTATATTCAGGTCACGTTTCCAAGCTGCACCATATTACGCCTGGCTCAGGGGCTATTCTGCACCGTTTGCCAGCGGCCGGCTCGAACCACTCAGTTCCCTGCGTTACTGGCCAGACGTCGTTCTTGGAGTCCAGTGAATCTGGCCAGCGGGTCTGGACTCCATGTTGGCCGTAGAAATTTCTTGGAGTTGGCGGCCTTCCCACTTCCGACCGGCGTCGCCCAGGGAACCGTAGCCAGGAAGCCCCCTCAAGTCGGGTGGAGTCGTCCTTCTCTCAGGTTGCCGTCTTGATTTGACGGCCATGTATTCACGGTAAGTGAAGCAAGGTGAATTGCAGATGATGAGCAGAGAGGCAATGGAGCAACACTCAGAACCAATCTGGAAGCCAAACTCACCGGAGTTCCTATTGCAGCACCGGCGAATACTCCGTCCAATTTCTATTCCACAAGACCACGGCTGCCGCTACTTTTACAAGTTGATTCTTCACCTGCCGACAATGTTTATGCCCCTGTTGGCACGTTGATACGTTTCTTCCACGGTTCCACATACATTTAATTAAATAGGGATATCATAGACATTTAATATAATTAAGGGCTGTATTTAGTAAATAGCGGGCTGCATTTAGAATTACCCACACTTTAGCCACCCGAATTTTTTCCCGTTATGCCATGGTAGGAGTTTTTTGTTTTCAATTGATCCAGGTGAAATCTCCCACTCTAGGAGCCTCACATCCCAACCCGACAGGATGGTGAAAGAGTATATCACGGTGACTCAGTCAGCAAAGTGGCAGTAGGTCATACACTCGTGTGCACCAGAGATCCAGTCTTATTTCAGGTTATGTAACCTCCACCCGATAGCTGTGGAGATTCGAACCTTGGTCCATTGATCCAAATTTCTCACAACTCGAACAACTGAACTACCCGTGCGGGTAGGAGTTTTTTTCTTTTCAAACTGTTATACTACGTAATTGCTTCATCTTTATTTGAATTTACTTATATTAAAGATGTATCAAATTAGTTATTACTTAGTTTTTATTGAATTTATATTAAAGATATATGGAGTATCAAATTACGTACTACGTCATTTTTATTTTTTTTTAATAAACTGAATTGTCATGTCATGTGACAAACATTAAGGGGATGAATGAACACTCCACGTTAGCACTGAAGACACGTATAATCAGAACATAAGACATTGTTTATACTACCTCCGTCCCACTAAGATTGTGACAAGAGAAAGTGACACGATTATTAAGAAAAGTGAGTTTGTGTGGTTGATATTAAATTGATAAAGTAAGAATAAAGTAAGAATGATTTAGAGCCACACAATCTTTACCAAATTTGATATGGGACAATTTTAGTGAAACTTTCAAAAAAAAGTAAAATGAGACAATCTTAACGGGACGAAGGGAGTAAGACTTTAATATAAAACTACTCATTCTTCTACATCTCTACCACATCTTGTCATCTCTAGCCTCTATGCTGCCTCTTGTGCTAAAGCTTCTTCGCAGCAAATGAGATTCGAGCTTCGAAAATCACATCTTTGATAATGTTTGGGTTCGTGGATTCCTTTACTTGAAGAGATTCAATATATAGAAACTACAACGATAAAAAGAATCACCGGCGAAGAATTATTTTGACGACGGCGGATCGGTGAATGGAAGCAATAGTGAGCTCACGAATGATGACATTGTCTATTTGTCTTAAAAAAATTGACTATTTTCCATCATTATTCATAGATTTATGGAAGGTAAACCTAAGTGAACCTCATACTGAGTCCGAGGATATGCACGACGAGGGGTTTTGGTTCTCGATGAAGGTGAAGATATCGTTGTCTTCTAGGAGATGGTTTTAGAGCATTTCGTTCCGCAACGGATTACACTTGTTGCTCTCCTGCGGTTAACCCCATTTTGAACTCCGTAATATTTATAAATGCATAATTGAAAAATCAATCTAATTATCCACTCTTTTTAAGAACTCGTGAAATTCAATTGAGCAATTTATTTCGGGCCGGAGGAATAAATTTGTTTAATCTCCATAAATGATCATTTCCATTTTATATCCAAGATGAGATTTGAAAGTCTTCATTCATTCATTCATCTCTTAATTATCCAAATAATAATTTTTGGCTACATATATGATCATTTCCTTTTTGTAAGTTTGTAACCAAAGATCCGAAAGGAGTTGGAACAAAAAAAAAAGGTCACAAACAGATCTGAGGTACTCACTTCTCACAACTGCCTGCAGGGAGTATCGAGCTTCTCCTCTGCCATTCTCTGCAGAAAAAAGAACACTTCGCGTAAAAACCCATCTTTAGCAAGACACCACAACACCTCATCCACTGCCGGCCGGGCAATAAACTTCACCGCGAACTCCGAGCATTTTCTCCCCCAACACCTAACACCACCCCACGTATCTCCAAAGTCTTGCGTGCCCGTGCTTCCTAGGTGCGTACTTATTTCCGTCAAATGAAATGTGGCAGCCATTTGTGCACCAAAATGGCACGAAATGGACCACCAGTGTTTGTAAAACTTTGTAACTGTTATTGTTATGCCTTTGGGGGTGCATCAAGAATGGGAAGAATGCCCACTCTTGATTCTGAAATTTTCTGAAATTTCTTGATTGCGAAATGCTCGACTTAAAGCTTCTTTGGGACTGTTTCTGTAGTTTTACTGTTGCCTGGTGTGTGTGAGTGCGCGCGCACCCTACTTCGTTCCTTGGCTTGGGTGTGATAGACTGATAATTTAGTGCCATCATACATTTCACCAAACATAAACTTATCTGGATGCAAGTCTGAATTGGTTGGTATGTAAAAAAGCAAGTTTTTCCGCATAATGACACTTAGACTCTCATTTTAGTTTTTAATATTTTAATATTTTGTTTCTATAACACAGCAAGTCCATCAACTCCACCCACCCAGGCTTTTATCTCACTAACCTCAACCATTCATCACAATTCACCCGTGCCAAACATGGATTTTAGTTTTGCTTTCATTGACAAGAAAGCTCTTGGGGTATTAAGAGCATTTCTGATTGCTCTTAGCCTTTTAGGAAGGTATGACAAGGCATAATTGCTACTAGTGCCTAAGCATGCAGCACACTTCAGAAAGATGTATTTGCAAACCATCAAAGCTACATGTGTGCCATTCTGTCAGCTAAGCTTTGTCCACTACTCACTTAATAGGGCTGGTGTATGAGCCGGTTTTGAACAGTGTACTGGTCTCCTCTTGACATGCTCCGTCCTCCATGTATTAGAATGACATAAAGCTGGCTCTTGAAGGAATGAAGGGTGAAATGTTCTGTGATGAATGTTGCCAAGTTATTTGTCTCCCATCCAGGTTCATATCACAATCACATCACAACTTCCAAGTTTTAAATGTATGAAAAAGGGAAGCCCAGTGCATGTTGGTGTGTGTCCTCACAAGGCAAGGGTCCAGAGAAGGGTGTATAAGGGGCAAGCCTTCACCTTTCAATTTTTTACTAGAGGCCCGCTCCCAAGACTTGATCGCGTGACCTCTCAATCACACAACTTTCAAATTTAAAAATGTCAAAAGAATAATATATAAGAAGTTAAAAACATTAAGTGAGCAACAAAACGGAACAAAATGGCTGCCCAAATGTTTGTACCTGCAAACTTAAGCATGTTTGACTTTTTAGCCTTCAATATTTAATCTCTATTGTACTATGCTAGGGGGTGCATTCTGGCTTTTGTTGGAGTTGTTGACTATATTCATCCTTTCCTAGTTTTGAATTTATTTTTCATTCCTCTTTTCACCATGTGTTGTTGGCTTGTTGCTATGTATAGCATGAAAAAAGTGAAAGGATTCTCACGACTGCAGTTGATCAGAGTTGTTTGTGGCTTGAAAGAGCCACATTCAGATGGACAGATGGTGTGATCTTTTTCAAGTTTCAAACATTGCAGCGCAGAGAACCCTTTTACCAACAAAATCCACATTTTATATTTTGTCTTTGTTCTCTGACTGGATTTTGATGGTTTCCTCTATACCAGGTCATGGATACTGGAGGGAATTCTTTATCATCTGGTCCAGATGGAAAGAAGCGAAAAGTTAGTTATTTCTATGACCCAGAAGTCGGGAACTACTATTATGGGCAAGGCCACCCAATGAAGCCGCACAGAATTCGGATGACACATGCTCTTCTTGCACACTATGGACTTCTACAGCACATGCATGTCCTCAAGCCCAATCCTGCAAGAGATAAGGATCTTTGTAGGTTTCATGCTGATGATTATGTTACTTTCTTGAGAAGCATAACTCCAGAAACGCAGCAAGATAATCTGAGGCAGTTGAAGCGGTTTAATGTTGGCGAAGACTGCCCTGTTTTCGATGGTCTGTACTCCTTTTGTCAAACTTATGCAGGAGGTTCTGTTGGTGGAGCAGTGAAATTAAACCATGGGCATTGTGACATTGCTATAAACTGGGCGGGTGGGTTGCATCATGCCAAGAAGTGCGAAGCTTCTGGTTTTTGCTATGTCAATGACATAGTGCTTGCCATATTAGAGCTCCTCAAAGTGCACGAGGTTGGTCTGTACTGTTTTTGTTACTCACAAACACTGATCATTGCTAAATGTGATTTCATTGCTTTAGGGTGTTACCACGTAACTACTAACTATGACCACTTTTGTGTTTGTCTTTTAATCTTAACTGGATGATGTAATGTCCAAGGGCCTTCTTGTTTAACTCACGGGTTCAAATCTTAAGAAAAACAACTTGGATAATAGTAATAAAGTCTTGTGCATCTTGTT